TACGCGGCGGATACCCTACGCGGTTTTATTTACACGATCTTTTGTTACTTTTTTTGCCAGTGACGTCACAATTAAATCGTATATAATGACCTATAACTCCATAAGAAATTGCCAAAAAGCGATTTTAAGGTTGATTATATTATAAATGGCATATCAAAATTCCCCTCTAGAACAAAAAATCATTTTGCTAGTTCTCTTTTAATAAGAACACTCTGGTCGATAATATTAAGTGCAATTTTGATGATGTGAAAGATTTTTACTTTTCATGGTATGTCGTAAATAATCACTATCGCAAAGATCTGAATAACAGATTAAAGCGCATCGATTGTAATGATCACAGTATTTGTGACAGTGTAAAAACCATTACGGAGATAGACCCCTCTCCTAACAACGAAACCATTCATTCCCTAAAATTGTTGCTCAGAAGCTTCTGAATGAGAGGTTACGGCCACCTGACTACCCTTGAATAGCAATTATCATTTTATGAATATTCATACTACAATATCTTGTTCATGTTTGTAAAAGCATTCCACTAAACTAACTGTTAATTCTGACACAACTTACATTTACGTCATTCGCATTCAAGCAGTTGTACCTTTGACCATCAGTAGCTCCATGACATGATGTGAAGGTTAAAATGTCAAGAAAATAAAGCGTAACTGTATTTGGCCATTGGGTTCCAAGATTTAGAACGGTATTTAACAGAGTGGTATAGGTTCCACCAATCAGCGGGTCACTAATCTCATTATGGAACGTCACAAAAGCAATAGACATCGTAGTAATAGTTACCTGGAATTAAGCAATAATGTTATATCAATTATTTATTATCATCATCATTATCATCACTGTCGTCGTTAGTTTTATTATGATTGTTGTTATAATTAGTAACTATAAATACTCGGATTATTATGATTATTATAATCATTTTTATTTCAAATAATATAAACAATAAAAATAGTGTTATTAGAATTATTGTTATTATCATTATATATTATTATAATTCCAAATAACACATGTTTATTATAATTATTACGATTATTTAATATGGTAAGGTATCTTACTAGTTTAAGCGCATGACTTAAAAACATTGCCACATAAAAGTAATACGGAAATTCCCCATCCTCCAACCGCACAGAAGACGCCCACCAGACAAGCGACATACATACCAAGCCAATTATCAACCTGGTGAAACATAGAAAAGAATTATTAAAATGCGAACTGGGTTACTTGTAGGGCTGTATACGGTAGTTAAGTTTGAATCACAGCAGCAGTCGAAGAAACTCCTTAGCAACTACACAGTTCCCATTGAGATATTTCGATTACATTTTCTACGGTTTGCTGGAAATAGTTCATTGGAACAGAAACCGTACTGATTATGGCATTCCTATTGTTCTGATGAATTTAGTAGACATAAGAAGTGTTTTTCGTCAAGCCTTGTTAGAGAGTTTTGTCGGGGTGTGGATGAAAAAGGGGCGGGGTTATAGGGGGAGGGGGTCTGGATTTTAAAAAAAATAAATTTATAAACATTTTAAAAATACAACATTTTCAGAATTATGGAAGTATTTACAAGTAAAATGATCAGGATTTCTATTGTTGCAAGCTACATTGCAGCATGGGGAGGTGGTAAACAAGCTGTTTAAGTAAGACAATAATTCCTTCATTCAAACTACCGGTTCCATCATTAAAATACTGGTAGATCACATTAACTACTCTCTATCGTCTTTAATATCAAAACATTTAGCGTTATTTATGCATCCGCAATACTTAATTGAATGCTATGCCTATACCTTTCTTTGTGAACAGTGATCCAAATCAAGTTATGCCAAGGGCTGATTGGAAATTATGCTAAATTATACCAAATGTTAAATTTAATTGTTTTTTAAATAACCGCCTTTCTTCCACCTAAAATGAAAGCAACAATATTCTCAATAACATTACTGTATACCCAGTTGTGCCGCAAGAGTCGACGGTATCAGGTTTGATGTTCCCGACTGGGAAGAGTGGAGGAATTGGAATGGCCAATTTTCCGGACGGGAGAAAGTTGCCGGGGTCAGGCAATCAAGGACCCTACATTATATATTATATTCAATATATATATATATATATATATATATATATATGATATTCAATTACATAATTAAGTTCCGGTTCATATGACATAATTAAGTTCCGGTTCATATGCTTAATTAAAAATTGTTTAATCTCAATTTCGTACATTTTGGGTTTGTCGGACGTGGCCAACATAATAGGTCTAATTTGTTTTTATTTGGTCTAATCCGTCTACCTCACAATAGTATTGTTTATATTGTACAGTATACAACTTGAAACTTGAAACTTTCGAAAATAAATACACAGCATTCTTCGGGAGGTAATTTTATTTAATAAAAATTAAGTAACTAAAAAACAACACTAATAGTCTATTTAAAACAACATAGGCATAGGTGTATGGTGGGAAACTAAGGACAAGGAAATTCAGTTCAGGTGTGATTATATATATATATAATCTATTTTGTAGATTTGAATGACGTTGTGTGAATATACTGATTTTTCTGTTGGCGTCAATATTTTTTATAAGTTTCAATAACCACGGCTAGTTCCTTAACATGTACTCAACCGCAATCTACATCATCTCTGATTCGCTTCACTGCCAGAGGGCAAAAGGATTGTTTTCTATTTTTATCCTCTGTGTTTTCCAAATCTCCAACAAGTCATGAAACAGTTTAGTATTCTTTGAATTAATTCAAGGCTATTTCCTTCATTTAGGTATACATTTACGTATTTACCACAGTACGATGCACTACAAATACGTTCGGAACATACTTTAAAGTTTGTTCAAATCTTTTTTTACACGATTTTGAATGACTTCATAATAAATACGTTTTAGATTTACTTCAATGCAAAGAACCGAAATGTTCTCAGTAGGTCTAACCTGGCTCTGTGACCATTATACTATTTTATAACTATACTGTTTGTTTATTCTGAAATCACATGCATAGCACAAGTATTCATAAACGTATTATTATCCGATAGTTTTCATTTATCTAGTTGTTTGGAATCGAAGTATGGCGGTTTGAAAATTGGTGAATTTATATACGTTTCTCGTGGCCTTCATAAAATTACTAAATTTTAGGGTTTAGAATAATAATAGTATAGTTTTATATAGCGCACAAATCCATCTAATGTAAGATGCTCAGGGCGCTTGAAATGTGGACTAGGAGTTGAAATATTGAACTCAAACTTCAAAAATAGTAAGATGAAAGGTAATACTTAAATTATATTTATGACATAATCACATTTTGCTCAAATTACATGTTATACTGTCTATTTGGCCCTTTTTCTCGAAACCTGGTGATGCGAGTTTAGCCCTTTGTGGTCTCCTGTCACAATTTTGTAAAAAAAAAAAAAAAAAAAAAAAAAAAAAAAAAAAGGTCAAAACCCACAATTACGAACAAAAGTAGGCTGCCCGTGTTTAAGCCACATCATCGTTCTCCTCAGTACAATTAAACACAATTAATGTAACAATTGTTTATGAAGTCTTGCAAATGAAGTTTCAGAGAAGGGTTTGAACTTGCGACAATAGTATGTGCAAAATAGGTTTGGTTCCTTTACTGATATTGGAAATATCTACTACGAGCCAACATCAACAGACAATGAATGGACCTTTCCGCTAACCCCCCTCCCCCTTGAAGTGTAGCAAGCTCCCACAAAACGACAGTGTAGTGTCGTGAGTCGTGAAACTTAGACTTTAATGCTGTAGAACATTTATGTAACTGCACTTCATTTCCGACGATCAAAAGGAAATAATAAACCAAGAGAATACAAAAACGGAAAAGAAACCCCTGCGACGCTCGCATAACTCAGTAGCTGGATTTATCCACAAACTCATATATATTTACTCAGCCTCATTAGACATCAGACTCGCAAAGGTCATAACACAGGAGCTCTCTCCTAATGCACGTCTTGACTCATTCAAGATTCACCTTCAACTCTTACATGTTAAAACAAGCGCGCTACGACCTCAGCACATAGACGCTACTAGTAAAATGCTTCCGCAACTTAAACAATTATTTAACAGCAGGAATACAATGAAGTATTTTAATCAGATAGTTTTTAAAACAAAGCTTCTGTCGCCGAATTAAATGTAGTTCCAAATAAATAATAAATAAAGATTACAAAACAATACAAAATTCAGTCTCTGACAGTAGATAATACTAATGCCCAAGATTGATAATAGCGCCAATTCAAAGTCAATGATCAAAGGCGCTAAACATTATTACTCCTTGTCACTGGATAACATGTAACGGCAAACCAGCAAAATGTGCAACCATCTCCGCTCCCTGAGGAGTATGCGCACAAAACTACAATCAATGCCACAAGACCCTACTAGGTACCCATCTCTTGGGTAGAGAGAGACAAACGTGGATATAGTGCCTTCCCTACAGACACAGTGACTTGCACAGCGAGTTTCGCGTATCCCCATGGGCCATATCTTATCGGTCAGTTGTTAAGCTTGATTGACACTCCGCAAAGGTCTATATAAGCCAACATAACAGTTTGCGGTCAAGAGAGGAGTAAAACACGATGGGTGCTTATTCTTCATGTTTTTTTTTGTTTTTGTTTTTGTTTTTTTTATATAGATTTTGTATTCAGAATTTTAGGATTTAAAAGAAGGTGTTTAATAAAGTATGTTTGAACGCCAAAATTAACGCTCATGAAACTTAAACTATGGTGTTTTGCGTTCTCCATAGAATCCCGCTGGCCGACGAACTTTGTCAATTTAAATTACGTACCGGTATGGCATCGTCTTCAACATTACGTCCAGAGGTCTCTTTGGAGTAGGCCAAATAAACTTTGCAATGAGCAAAGGAAGTACAAGATTAAACATCTGCAACGGCACTTGTAGTAATGATATGTTTTCTTTCGGCACCCCTGCTTCAACCAACTTTAAGCCCGATATCTTCTCAGCAGCGGTAAATCCAACCTTCAAAAAGAATATTGATTTAAAAAAAAGGAATAAAGGTAAGATGATCGTGATAGATGAGTTTGTCAATGATCACAACTAGGCCTATAATAGGCTGTATCCATTCCAATGTGTTCCATTCAGCAACACATAAGGATTCGTCGGACGTTGCTGTAGGATGTTGTTTAACTAGGATTATTCAATAAATTTGACTTCTGATGCAAGTAATAATAATCATTATAATAAAAATGGTTTGCAAAGGCCTGGCAACATTAGGCGAAAATGATCACAATGGTTTAATGACAATGATCATAAAGTTAATATTGGGATGGTTATTAATATAACCACGATCAGTAATTAAGAAAGTCAAATTACCTTTATTGTAAGGCATACAAGTGCGTATTCTTGAATCTGTCTAAGTTTTAAAATGCGTAAAAGTTGTGCGTACGTTCCTAACACGCCCTCAATTGATCGCAGTTCTTCTGGCTCAGTTCGCTCGCGAATGAACATCAAGATAAGAGTTGTAGTAACAATGAACACACATCCACCAAAAAAGTGAAAACCTGAGAGAGAGAGAAAAAAATCATTTACAACTAAGACTTAAAACAATGTAAACCTACCAGAATGTAAAATGTCTGCTCCTCCGAGTTGTGAGAGCACTAATTAGGATTCAATATTCTAGAAAATGGAGAAGTTTCTTTGCTCATAGTTAATATCTCTCTCTATAGTCTAGTATTGCTTAGAAATCTTTGACCATCCCCCACGCGTGTAATCCGTGTTTTGAAAATTGATGGACACGCGGTTAATGAGCTATTTAAAATTATACCTGTCTTGCAGTTGTATAAAAGTGATATCGCACTTGGTTAGGCTGTGTGAAAATGGCAGTGTGAAAACTTCGGTGGCCTAAGATCATAGCAGATACAGGTACTTTTCCCTGACACCATAACCCATTCAACAGTACAGTATGCTATCGTTTTGAATAGTGTACTGTATTGCCAAAACGACCGTTACTGTTCGCAGTACAAATATGTGCTGCATGTGCCAGATGCGGTAGGATTTCGATGTCTGTTTTTGAATGCTGATGTAATGGCGAATACGGCTTAGAAAGAAAAGCCTTTCACCTACAGTATTTCATTCTTGAAGATCTGTGTACTGTTACTTAAAATCTTACCAATGTAAATTGGGTAGAATTTTCGAGTACCAACAAGTTTCCAATTTCTTTATTTCAATTTCCTTTGGGTAGCAGGCTTGTGTTGCGTATACTAATCTTGATCTCACACAACTCTCCATAATTTTCTTTCTCGTATACATATTTACTTTACAATCTTTCAACATGTTCCTCATTTCTTGAAATTTTGCATTAGCTGATGATGTGCAAAGCTATTCTATGCTATCGTTTTGAATAGTGTACTGTATTGCCAAAACGACCGTTACTGTTCGCAGTACAAATATGTGCTGCATGTGCCAGATGCGGTAGGATTTCGATGTCTGTTTTTGAATGCTGATGTAATGGCGAATACGGCTTAGAAAGAAAAGCCTTTCACCTACAGTATTTCATTCTTGAAGATCTGTGTACTGTTACTTAAAATCTTACCAATGTAAATTGGGTAGAATTTTCGACATACACTAGAAAAGTCAAGGCACTTACTTGTTAGAGTTAGAATTCCTGTATCATAAGGTTCCGAACGAATGTACCTATTGCAGAAATTAACTGAATTAAGTAATAAAAATACAGTGTTACTCAGGAAGCCCACTCTTTGTCCCATAATGTTACACGTAGACTGGTATCGAACGTTCCTCTTCGAAAGCATTGTGAGAGCCCAGCCATCAACTACAATATCTTGGGTCGCTGCTAACATCTTCAACCAGAAGAAAATAAAGGTAATGGCCATGAGGTTAGGTCCGGCCTTGGACTCCCTTTCTCCAAGCCAATCATCTATTTTCCATGCTATTATTATCATTATTATGCCAATTAAATATTGAATCGGCACTAACCATGACTTTCGACGTCCAATGGTTGTATAAAAATAGCATCGACTACAGGTGCCCAGAGAAGTTTGATGGCAAAAGGCCACGCAATTAAACTCAGTAAAGCATAACCCTTGTAAGAGACGTTGTATTCTTTTAGAATAAGAGGAAGGCTTGAGCATATTCCCGAAATTATTCCCTGTAGAAAATACAAGATGAAAAGAAGCACTATTTTTAAGCGGTCCGCTCCCAATCCTATGGGATATTCCTTCTTTACTGAGCTGTCGTCTGCCTGAAGTTTTCTTGCATTTACTACATGCTTTGGTTTAATTCTCTCTCACAAAGTCATCAACAGAGTTTCGTTCCCAAAGCATTTAGTCTGTCAGGAACGAAGTAACGTGGAATAATAAATGCCATACATCTCCTATGAGGAAGTACCAAGTCTTATTTTTCTTTCTAAGAACATAGCTTAGCCTAAAACTCAGTATTCGATCCTCAGTTCCTACTATGACAAATGTTACTAATCCTGACTTAAAATATCAAATGATTTCCGTTAAAGCACTTTTTCAGTACAGAAATAAAATATAAACAGTGGATATTATGACCTGCAAGTAGGAAACAAACCCATTGTAAAAGACAAAAAAATTGTTTACACTCCCTTTTCCGAGTCTTTTTTGGTGCTAAAATAGCGAGAACAGTAGGTTCAAAGGTAATGTGTTTTTTTTTAACCCATGCTGCTATAATAAAATTATGTAGACCTACCGGATAAGCCAACTGTGTAATATAATCAATATATATTATAGGCTTATGATAACGTATTGTTTGGCAAAAGCTCAGATGTGCTAAGTGAGTTGTCGAACTTGTATGTTGCAAGATTGTTTTGTTCAATTCCACAATGTTATGGTTTCAGTACAAAAAAGTTTATGACTAATCAATAGTGTTCGAATTGGTTCACTTTCGTCATTTCAAAGGGGTATTAACAGACACTAATTGCCACACTACTTGCAGCAAGAATAAACCATGCAAAACAATTATGTCTACTTGAATTGAAAGGCCTACTGCCTACAAGCATCCAAAGAGTCACCAGGGGAAAATTTTTACAAGAGGTTTTTTAAGACACTGAAGGAGGGGTGCTTGACGAAAAGCTCAGAAACATTAATAAGATACATTGAACATTATTTACAAACTAGGGGAAAAGACATGTTTACGCATTTTATAACATCTACCAGGGGCGGATGCAGGGGGCGCAGAGGGTGCGATCGTACCCCCTAAATTTTACTAAGAAAAAAAAATTGTATTATATTGTTGATATGAATTATTTGTAAGATTTTTAAGGTACGAGAGTGCAATTTCCAAGCACCCAGAGGTCCATGGATATTCTCAAAATTTTCGCACCTCAGCCCCAACCATTTTAGGGCTGATGTGGACTCTCACGCACCCGTGGAAGCAGATCACACTTTTATCTAGATTATATTGATGGTGTGATGATGAATTTAACTATATAAAAGTGTCATTTCAGGCCATCTGAAGGTAGTATTTCCTCAAATTTTCTGGCCTCAGCCCCAACCATTGGTGGGGCTGAGGTGGTTGTGACTCACAGCTTTGAAGTAGGTAAAGTAAATAGGCCTACATCAATGACAATGTTTTTAAGTTTTATTTTCTATTGTACATTACACATATTAATTAGATCTCTGTGGTTACCGAAAATCGCTGATAAAAGATCATGAGAATTTGCGCTTCATTTTGACTGTATAATGGTGATGTAATGATGATCTTTATTATATAAAAGTCATTTACAGCAATCTACGTGTACTTTTCCTCATTTTTTTTGTATGCAACCCCTACCGCCAAATACTGCATCCGCCCAGCCTACTTTCTATCTTATATATATATATCTGTCTCTTATACACATCTAGATGTGTATAAGAGACAGAGAATAATATAAATAACACAAAAGTTAAAAAAGACATCGTAGGCCTTGGTATACAATATTTTCATTTTACAGTAGTTTGGAACGATATCGGGGGTGGGGGTGCTGGCAGTGGCCTACTATACTACAACATATATAAAAAACGTCTGGGACCGATAGTCCAGGCCCAACCGTCGATCACCCGAAGTTTTAATCGCGATGATCAAGAACGCGGTGCATTTTCATTGTTTAAAACCTCGTGTTTTAGTGGGAAAATTCAAGCTACAAAGTTATGTAACCGACTGTCTGGCTGTCGGGAAGTACTGCACCTTCATATTAGTCTACGTTTTACAGCCACTGCCCTGTATTTAACACGTTAAAATAACAATTACAAATAGAAAATAACTTGGGAGGCACGAAATGACGTTTGCAGCAAGACTATTCATACAACACAAAAAATAAAAACGTCTGGAAATGTCGAAAAATGAAGATCACATGAAAAAACGATGTACTATTTTAGCAAGTATTCAAAACTTTCTTTTTATATTAGGCCTTCGCCAAAATCAGTTGATTTTTTCCTGCCAATCCAAAATAGTTTCGCCCTTGGCGACCTGTTAGCGTGACCCCAGACTGAAACACTGAAGAAACTTCGCGTCGCGATGAAAAAAAATGTCGGAAAACTTTTTCTCGACGCATGCGCACTTGCATAAATACCTACACGCACGCACACACACCCACACAAACAATAGTTCCTAATTGCATTGCATGCATAGGAACTAAAAATTGTTTTCTTCACAGGATGGCTGAAATGTTGACTGGGAACACAGAAAATAATTCATGAAACCTTAATCAACATCTAATTGAGGACAGTGGAGCGGTTTTCAGTACCGAATGAACGAACCATTTGCAACATATACACGGTACAACTTGAATTTATGAATTCGGTTTTGTTTTCTTTTGTATCTTTTGACGAGTTTATTTTCAAAATTTAATCTGCACCAAATTAGTAAACTGGAACAAAATAACATAGGCCTACTCTACCTACTTACTATTTCTATTACTTATGCTTCACAATATTTTCGTAAATAACCTTTTAATATATCTGTCTCTTATACACATCTAATTTAACTATATAAAAGTGTCATTT